AGCTCTAGATACCATGTGAAAGTTTGAAAGATGGTAAAAATATTATTACTGTGTTAAAGTTTCTATTACACAAAAAGGTCCTATATAAGGAACAATGGACCAGCCCTAAAAGCCCATTATACAATACAATATATTTCAACAATTTATTTAAAAAGGCCTGATACCTGACCACCTTGCTCAGCATAGAAGCTTGTAGATTCCAGAACTAAACCAACATCATCACCAGTATTAACGGTATCAACAAACTCAGAACCAGTATATATTGCTTGTACCACACTCTCATGGTCCTATGTAAGAAATGGTGAATAGAAGTTTAATCAAAGAAAAAAGGTTGGGGGCAAGAGAACCAATAGTAGAAACTCCTCCATTCAGTAGTTGTTTGTAACAAAATTACCTTGAACCAAGCATATTTGAAGCTATCATCTGTTGGGGATATGCCCCTTTTGTGCAATGCAGAGGTAGCATCAGCATCCATGACAATGGCCCCACCAGCTTGCTGACAATGACAAAAGAAAGTTGTGGTAGAAGCAGAAAAAAGAAAAGATGAGTGGTAATATCAGTCAAGGATTAGTTTATTTATCCTTTAAATATATCGGGTGTTTTTAAAACAAATAAGAAACTTATGCACAGAAAAGAGGCATTCAAGCAATTAAGATACCTTTGTTTGAGCACTTCTGGATCTCTCTCTTGCAGCCTCCATTGCCCTATCAAAACCTTTAACATCAACAACTAATCCTTTTTCTTCAGCCATCAGCTGATACAACAGGAAATTGTTAGGAAATAAAAGAAAAAAAAAAAACAAGGTATAACATAGACTTACAGTTCCATGCAGCATTAAAGTGAACCAACCCACCTACCTGAGTGAGATCTAATGGGAATCCATATGTATCCCACAAGACAAATGCTTCCTATAATCAAGAGACAACTGCATGAGAAATATCCCATACGTCTATTGGAAACAACTTATTGAATTATAAAATCAACAGTTCAACAATCGTGTATTTGTGCATTATTACAAATGTGATTTTAACACAAACAACAAATCTTTATGATAAAATTAAAGTAATTAACGGTTATGGATAAAAACAACAGAATTTTAAAGTTGAAATGAAGAGAAACTAATTTAAATCACTTCCCCAAAGACAGTTAAAAAATGAGACAACAAAAAATTTCAGAGCCAAGTGAAATTTCACAAACATATTTGTTTGCTTGAATTTTAAATAGACGGCATATATTTGCAAATACATATGACTACAAGGAAACTGAAAATAACAGGTTCTACTTGCCTCCCCACTCAGTGTCTTTCCCTGAACATGTTGAACAGCTGTCTCAAATTTCTCAATACCCTGGGGAAAGGAAAAACAATCAGGTCTTCTTATACTCTTTATATGTATAACATGAAAAAGAATATGGCAAAAACCAACGAATATAGTACACAAGAATCAAAACTAATTTGAGAAATGGCTGTCATTAAGATTGACAAGTATAATCCATAAATATACATGATGAGCATATGCCTATCGTCACCTTAATTAAGGTTCTTCCAAAACTTTCCTCCTCCTCTTCAATTACATTCCGAATGTGTGTTTCCTGTTGTTTTAGCTCAGGGAAAACATCACCCATCAAATTCACCACCACACTTACAAACCTGGGATTCAGTAAAAATGAGGACAGAACATTACAAATAGAATGTATGTTCACATATTTATACCAACACAAAATTACCCGAGGACAAACTCAGCAACAATTCTAGTAAAGAGAAGTACACAATTTAGAAAAAATAATTAAAGGTGAAAGAATTTATTTAAGAAAGAATGTCATGGAAAATGAAAGAAAAACACAGTAGAGAACAGAGCTAAGCGAGAATATACAAGTTTACTACAAACTAAATTGATTACAAAAAAATCAATTTACAACGAAAATATTTATACATACACATAATGAATACATTCCCAAACAATCTAACAGACTCCCACCACTATGTCACAGAATAACCAACAGCTGGTGGTTACAACAACCTGTCAGGATGTCGCTGAAGGTTAAACATGCAGTACAACTGAATTATTACCCAACCTGACTTGATAAGAACCTAGGAAGAACCACACCACAAAAATTAGTAGTTGTAGTTGCCGAAACCAAAGTCCAATAAACTCACTCAAAAATCTCATACTTCCAATGTGAGACTTGAGCCCCATACACTGCAATAGAATCACCATGATCCACAGCAGGCTTTCTATGAACTGGCACTTTGACTACTCTCACTCTAACACTACAATGCCAACACAGAAGCTAGCTGTTGTAGTTGAAGAATCCAAGGCCCAGTAAACCCCACACTAGAATCTCATACTTCCAATGTGGGACTCAATCAAGTCCATGACCTTGCAATCGGATCCTAGCATAACTACTCAAACACATAAATATGTTTTATTATCCTAACGGTGCCAGGACGCGAAATCTGGCAGCCTTGGTTGCATGATATGTTCATCAAGCCAGTGTATCCATGTCAAGAACATATCAAACAAGGATACATTTAGATACGTAAACTTTGGAGTTTCAGTAAAGTACTTAATATACATAGAAAGAGTGCTTGGAAGTTAGAACTGTAGCTTATTGGTAAAACTAATGATCCTGTTTTATGAATTCTCGTGTCCTTTGGATTAAACCTTATTCCGATAGAAGGCTTTATCAGTGAGGGTTCACAACTTATGTATTATGACATGCAGAATAAGAAACGCTTCCCAAGTCTCCCACACTCTAACCCTTTTTTCTTAAAATAGTCTCAAATATAATATATATATATATATATAACAATCATAATTTCTTTTAGTCTTATATTTAACTATACTCATTTTTACTTTTATATTATTCCAAACATTAAACATACATAAAATATATAATTTTGTTTCAGGATTAATATTTGAGTACCACTTAATTAAGTGACAGCAACTGTTGATAGAAGCAACTCTCACTCTCACTATTTGTATATACAATTGGATAATATTTAATAATGATTTTCAATTTTAATACTTTCTTTAAAATTACACTAACATTTATTTTGCTTTTGTGAATTATATATACGCATAGATATATACTTTCAACGTATTTTAACGTATAGAATCCTATATTTTTTAACATGAGATGAGTGGCCTTATCAAACATGTGTTTTGTATCGAATACTTGTATCATGTCAGTGCATCATATATGGAAACAAAGATTTAGATCAAGATTTAGGCATCAGATTAAAGTTGTCAACCATTATACATACCCACTGAAAAATCCCTCTTTAGCTTTTAGCACTTCACGTCCATACCGCACAGCTCGACGAAGTATTCGTCTTAGAACATACTCACGACCATCATTACCTTAAAATAAATGGAAACCAGTCAAATAGTAGAATATTTTAGTTTAAAACGGGTCTACGTGATGCCCACACAGACTAAATGTTTTACAGCTAGTATTACAGATATATAATAATCAAAAAGTCAAAAAGCTAAATAGATTGGCTAAGGGAATTTATTTTTCATAGTGCAGCTACAAACAGAGTTAAAGTTAAACCTGTCAATGAAGAACAGGCCTCCCTCGAGGTATGAAAGGGAAAAGACAAAAAAATTGATGTCACTTAAAGCTGCTATTTTGTGACTCCAATGTCAATGAAAATACCCGTTCTATAATATCATACCAGGACGAGACCCGTCAGCAATTGCAAATGAAAGAGTTCTGATGTGATCTGCAACAACCCTGTATGCCATGTCAACTTTATCTACATCATCTGCTCCAACTTTACCAGAATATGGTCTGGCACCAGTTGCCTGTAAATGGGTTACGCAAAAGAAAAATTATATATCAAACAGTTTCCAGTCACAAACATTAATTTAATAAGGACTAAAAGAAAACAAAAAAATACATTAACAAGGGGAATCATTCACATAGAAATTTAAAAAACAGTTGCAAATCTAAATGCAAATTCATAAAAGCATTCTCAGGATTTTAAAACAACACATGGAAATGCATTCCATGACACAATGGAAGGAACCATAAGTATTTGAAATTAGCAGGTAAAATCAACAATTTGAAAATGTAGGTTATCGAAGGTCAAAAAAGATATTTATTTAAATAGACATTTGAACTTAAGGAGTTATTCAATGGTATTAGATATCATAGCAGCTTGAGGAATAAAGTTGGTTTTGTTAGAACATTTATCCTATTTATCATGATTATATTGTGTCTAGAGTTATCCTATTTATCATGTATTCTTGTATCAATTTATTCTTATAAACCCTCAAGAATTATTTTACAGCTTAATTCTCAAGTTGGTATCAGAGCAGGTTCTCTGAGTCTCTTCCTACTCTATCTTTGTTGCCGCCAGTGGTCGGCGGCCTTAAAAATTTCATCTTTTCTGAAATACCTCAATGAGCAGTCTCGTTCTGATTTCTCCAAATCTTAGTTGTTGTCCGCAACTGTCTAGCACCGTTTGTCGTTGTCTGATGCCATTTGTCGTTGTCCACCTAGAACTATTTTGCCACCGTGAGGAGCTGTCCACATAAGTTTGTCACCATCAACCTCTGTTTCGGACATCGTTCGCCGTTGTTCGCTGTCGACCACTGTCTATTGCCATCTGCCGCCACAGTTTAGTTCGACAACTAGTGGATCTGGATCGCCACCTTGAGCGAGAGGCTAGTTCTCATCCAGACACGCCACATCTTTCCGACGTCTGCGTGAGGGGAGTATGGTTCAGCCACTACAGGCCCCATCAATCAATGATGGCAATTTAGTCTTCATAGTTTGTTGCTTTCAACCACTGTAGGCCCCATCAGTCAATGATGGCAGTTTAGTCCCTGCAGTATATTTCAGCCACTGCAGACCCCATCAATCAGTGATGGAAGTTTAGTCACTATAGTTTGTTTCCGCCACTACAGGCCCCATCAGTCACTGATGGCAATTTAGTCCTTGTATTTTGTTGCTTTTAGCTACTGCAAGCCCCATCCATACTTAATGGAATCCAATCTCTATAGTTTGTCGCTTTTAGCCATGCAGGTCCCATCCTTACTTGATGGAAATCCAATCTCTGCAGTTTGTCATTGTCTATCACTCGTCATTCACTTTTGATGGAAATCAACTTTGTCAAAGTCATCCTACTTGAAGGTTCATGGTGCTAGTTGAAGTTTCGTGGTTGTCCAATATTATTCTCCATATGCTTATGAGGAGTCTCTTTGGTTACACTGGTTTGTGAGTCCAATTTCGTTTATAGACATTTTGTCTCGATGGTCTAAAGCATATGTGCATCTTGTTTGAAGCCAAAGTTACCATGTCTATTGTCTCGACATTCAAGACAAGTTGATTTTGTTGGAGTGAGTTTATTTATTCCAAATTTGGTACATACAATTTGTATGCTCCAGCTTGAAGGGGAGTGTTAGAATATTTACCCTATTTATCATGATTATATTGTGTCTAGAGTTACTCTATTTATCATGATTATAGTGTCTAGAGTTACCTTATTTATCATGTATTCTTGTATCAATTTATTTTTATAAATAGAAGATTATGAGAGGGATCAATTAAGCCCTCAAGAATTATTTTACAGTTTAATTCTCAAGTGGTTTATCCAAATGACCTATTTTTGTCACAAGGTGCACAAACAGAAAAAACAAGAAAAAAAAACAATTTAATGTGATTCAACTTACAGTGAATTATATGTTTGCATTCATATAAAACTTTAAAAAAACACTATGGACAATGGGTACCAGCCCGACAATCAACAATAATCCTAGTCATCATTTTATTTCGTGTTAATTGTTATAGACTTACAACAATTACATATGTAAATATTCCAATAGAACTTCTTTATACAAACGGATAACCATGGGTTCAGATAGGTTAGGAAATGCTCTCTCCACTTGGTACCATGTGTACACATTCTGCTATAAAAGTGATAAGTGATACTACATGCTGAATACCAACAAACACAAGGGAAACATAGTAAACTCTAATGCCTTCATTAACATACCTTCTGAATAACATCAAAGATTGGCATGAAGATGTCAGTGTCATAATTGCTCATTTTGTTTTGTAGTACAGAGGTCAATCGTTCAAAACCCAAGCCCGTATCAACATGCTTTGCTGGAAGCGGTTTAAGAGAGCCATCAGCCTCCCTATTGAACTGTTACCAGGTTAACAAATAGTCAAATACATGCAGATCCATGGTGATAGAATAAGATTGCACGCAAAAATACATTCCAGAACCAACTAAGCAAAGTACATAAATGAGAGGAGAAAAATTATTGATCTCTGTAAATCATTTTATTACCTGAATAAAGACAAGGTTCCATATCTCAATGCAAGTAGGATCATCATAATTAACCAATGATGCAGCATCACGGTTACCAATTCTGTCAAAATGTATTTCAGTGCAAGGTCCACAAGGACCAGTATCACCCATTTCCCAGAAATTGTCCTATCCAAAGATACAGATTTAGTAAGATATGCAGGTTCAGTTCTGAGATAAATTACAGTAAAATACTAAATTTTAATTTTGTATGCCATATAATTCTTATGAAAAGAAGTTGCATTCTAATTGTTTTCCTCGAGGAAAGGTGAAATGGTCCCAGCATCCATTTGAGAAGCCCAAATAATATTTTAATTGACAGTATAATTTCGATTATTACTCGCAGATAACTACCTGCAGTCACACTGTTAAGTATGAAAAATGACTTATCATCACATTATAAAAATAGAGCAACAGGTTGTCTGTGAAATAACATCCAAACACGTATTTTGTTCTGATTGTAGTATAAAATAATGCATACTGTTTGCTATAATATTAAATATACTTTGTGATTCTGTTTCGCATTTTAATTTAAGACGTGGTGAAAGCATACTTTGCATCCAAAAGGAAGCACACGTCCAGGAGGCAAAAACTTCAGCCATATATCTCTAGCCTCAAAATCAGGGGCAAGACCAGCCTTTTCATCACCACCAAAATATGTGGCATACAAGCGATCTGAAGGTAACTTGTAAACCTGAAGACAAAAAAGTTCACGATTCAAACTTAAAAAGAGCAAAAGTTATGGATTATATAAATCAAGAAGTCAAATGACCACCAACTTCCCAATTTAGCAATGTGGCACAATACCAAGCATTCCAATTTATTTTTTTCATAGGATGTGGTCATTAAGTCATCCATAATAAGCAAGTAGTAGAGGCACCTAAATGTGATAGCCAATGTCAAGATTGCAGGTGACAATTGAACACTAACAAAATCCTTCATAATATTTAAGTCACGATATCATTATTCCTCGGGAAAAAGTACTCAACGCATTAATAGTTGGCATGGTGCAATTGATGGAGTGGAAGTTGGAAGTGCTGTTGACAGTGATGGAAAATTTGATAAATGTAAGTGTAACTGGACGCAGAAGACCAACTTACCACCATATGAAACGCACAAATTAAGCAGACACAAAAAGCCCAATAACATAAACCAACCTATATGGCACAGAAGGGGTAGCTGTAGTTAATTACTAGCTAGCTTCTAGTGTTTTAGATATCATTCTCATGGACAAAGAACTTGGCATGGTGATCTAACATAACAATATCAATGTTTGCAACAAAGAGGATCATAATTCAAGATGCAAAATATGAACTCCAACCAATAAAGCATACTTCGGTTAGAAGCTCCCACGCCCAGCTGATGGCTTCTACTTTAAAGTAATCCCCGAAGGACCAATTTCCCAACATTTCAAAGAAGGTGTGGTGGTAGGTGTCCTTCCCTACATCATCAAGATCATTGTGTTTACCACCAGCTCGAATGCACTTTTGTGTGTTGCAAGCACGAGAGAGTTTACTCAAGGCAGTGTTGGGATCCGCGGTACCCAAAAAAATTGGCTTGAACTGGTTCATACCTATCATCACATCACAAATAAACCTTAACACCATAAATTTTTCCCGCAAATCAAATAACACAATGTTATTAACTTACTATTATAACCAATATATCTATCAACAAACATGAATACTCTCCATTACAAAAACCTTTTAACACCTACCATATCCCTCTTCCCTCTCTTCTCTCACAATGAAAAATGTTAACAAATTATCACAATGTATTCAGCATCACTTCATATTTCAAGTCAAAACCCTTACCGCCTCCACGACCATTCCCAATTTCAAATATAGCATGGCACACGTTGACTTGAAGAGGAATTTGAAAAAATCCATACACATAATCACTCATCGCAAAACATACCAGCGTTGGCGAAGAGAAGAGTGGGGTCATTGAAGGGAACGACGGGGCTGGACTTCCAGTTGACGTGATTCTTGCCTTCGAAGAAACCCATGAAAGTGTCCCTCACGCGCTTCGCCGGCCACTCCACATGCTGAGTATCAGCTCCGGGCATGGCTGCGACGGAAGACGACGGCGAATGAAGAGATCTAGCGGCGCGAAAGGGGAGTGACAGTGGTAGTAGCGGCGGCGGAAGAGGGTTACAGTTTCGAAAGGAAATGAGCAAAGCTCTTACACCAAATCCTCTTTTCATTCACTCATCTATTAGTGTCTTGGTTTTTTTAACGCTAACGATTTGGAACAGACGAAAAAGTCCACCTCTCCAAATATTATGTAATAAATATTTTTTTTAATGAAACTACTATTGGGCCTTTTTGTTTGGTCAACTACTCACATTACAGACCCATTTTTGCCGGCCGGCCCGAGTTTTTGGAGACGATAATTTGTTTATTCTCCGACCAGTGAAGATTTTTGGAGTTTAATTAATGCAAAAATATTCCGTCCTAAAAATGTGAATATATTTACGTTACTTTCCCTCTTTTTATAACATTATACGGTTATATTTAACAGTGAATTATCAGTTAGAGTAAATCAAACAGTTTTTTCTTTATATTTAAATAATTAAATATTTTAAAAATATTTTTATTTGTTTTTTCTCATAAAAATGTTTTTATTTGTTTTTTCACATAAAAATATTTTATTTCTAATTTCAAATATTGAATTTTATAATAAGAAAAAATGTCTTTTCTCTTTTTTTATTATTTTTAATTTTTGTTTCATTTGAATCACTCTTATTTTCTTAAAACAATTTTTATTATTTTTCAACTCTTAAACTAACTTTATATTAGCTTTTTTAGATTTTAAGTCGATTTATTTCATCGTCAATTATATTTTTTTGTTTGGTTGAGTAGTATATCAAATTATTTCTAAGAGATATATTTCATTATTTTTATTTTTATTTTTATTTAATATTTGTATGTGTTATATATTTGTATATTGTGAAATAATGTTGTGACAATTTTTAATGTGAGTACTCTTATTTTCCAATTAATTGTCATAAGTGTAATTTCATCATTGTAATTATATACATGTATTTTATTATCATCTATTGAAGTTAAAAAAAATAAAAGACATGTGTAATTTAAATTATTATCATTTTAGTCCTTGTTTTTCTTGTACAATATGATTTAACTTATATGTTATAATTTTTATTGGTGCATAAAAAATATTTTATTATAATTTAGACAAATGAAATAAAAACACATTTAAAATATTTTTAAATTTGGTATACTGATTCTTTTATAATTATTTAGACATGTTTTTAAATTTATAAACTTATTTTCATTAACATTTAAAAAATTAATAAATATTTTAGTTCTCGTTAGATTTTATTTTTACTTTAATTTGAAATATATATGTAATCATAATTTTTTTCAAACATTTTATATTATAAAAAAATTATGATTATCTGATATTGAATATTTGATAATATCAAGTTTTTTATTATGATATTTCATACAAAATATTTAGTTGACATTAAAATAGTTAAAAAATGTATTAAATTGATAGATTTGTTAAAATATATTAAATTCCATTAACCAATTCGATGTACCACAAGTACGGGTCAAAAATAAACCCGATCCATTGACTTACCCAAATTGAACATATGTTAAGTGAATCCAAACATAGAAGAAAAGAAAACACCTCACTTTTAATTTAATAATCCAACCAAAACCAAAAACAAACCTTTTAATTTTGGGGCCAAATTTGATAATATTTAGATTTTATATAGAATTATGATTTAGTTATTTGGTGAATTATTTGTTTAGTGTCTAACAAGAGAAAAAAACATTTTTAAAAAAATAAATTTAAACTTTTTGGATTCTGATTATACGGTAAAAAAATGTTAAATTAAAAAAAATTATAATTTTTTTAATTAAGTAATTCAACTCATTTATCTATTGTTGGTGTCAAACTCAAATTTTTTTAATCATTAATAAATAAGTTGGACTGAATTCACTTACTGTATTATCAATCATAACAAATCGTAATAGGTTGGGTCCATGGCCATTTTGATAGCTTCAAACAGGTGTGGGTATATTAGTTGTTTGGTGGGATCAAAATTAAATGAAAATATTATACAACGCTGGACATGAAATTGGATAGATGATGAATGTTTTATTTGTGAATAAGTATTGAATAATGAAACTCAGTATTCGGTAGTCGTGATGTCATCCCTCCTACACCCTACATATACACAACACACAACCACATATATACACACAAACACACACGTACACCACAAAACCACACCCCAGGTCCACACAACACAAAAGCATATACCAAACTGAAGATTCATTGAAGCATGCTAACACCACACAACAGATAAACTGCAATACAACATAAACTCAACTTCATTGATGCAAATTTTTCTGCAAGATCCATAGCCTCGTTAACGTGTGCTGCATCTGTACCCTGAAAAAATATAAGGGTACACATATCAGTAAATATCAAATGGAACGCACAATGCATACCAGAAATTCTCCTAATTGATGAACATTTGTCTTCACTTGTGAAAAATATCCCCAGTGAAAAACATCTGTCTTCTCTCAGGTCTTCTATGAGAGAAGTATTCGAAAAAGCAAACAATTTACCTGAGTCATCTGACACTTCTTTCATGTCTTCTGTGTTACCGTCTTCTCTCATGTCTTCTATGATAGAAATAATCGAAAAAGCAAGCAAAATGCAAGGATCATTTGACACCCCGTCTTCTGCCATGTGTTCTGCATTAGACGGACGCTGTAATTGAAAGAGCATACAAGTTATTTTCAATACCGAAGTTTACAAGAGAAAAGATGTAATACCAGCATCGAGGAAGTCGGAAGCGTTGACGTGGGAAGAGTGCGAAGCGAAATTTGCAGTTAGATCATCAGCAGCATCAGCACCGAAAATAACTCTGTCATCGGTACTAGAGCTGGCACCCGAGTCATCATCTTCCGTGCCATGGAGACTCACAGACGAGTTACCTATAAAACTAGAAGGATGGCGCAATGCAGGTAAATGGAAAAAACAAATTATGCGTGTATTGATCAGAGAAGGCTTGTTAGGGTTCGTGACAAGCTCTACGATCCCTAAAAAATATGAAAACGAAAAGAATGATACGGTAAGGGAGGAGTATCGACAATGGATTATTCAAGATGAAAGATTGCGCACTTGGCTGTTATCATCTTTATCTGAAAATATGAGTTCTTTGGTGACGGAAAAGGAACACGCATGGGAGGTTTGGAGTGGAGTATTGGAAATCTGCCGGAATTGTTGGGAAAAAAACTTTAAAGGCTAGAAGGAAGTGTTTAAGATTGGGAGAGGTTGGAAGATTTTGAGAGAAGAGGAAAGGCTTATATTGAGTGCTTCTAAACTTTTTTGGCTTGTTATCAAATGATACAATCATCCCCTATTTATACTAATGGCACCTCCTTAACCAATGGTTAGGATCTTGCCACCACAACATTCATCTAAGGGTTATAATTTATTCTCTAGAACTTTCTAAAACATTCCTATAATTCTAAACTTATCTAGAGATATCTTATGGATAAGCATCTCTAGATATTTTTGTGGAA